ATGCTGGCTGGGGAATTCTGGGAGTTGAAGTTCATACATCTGGAAGTTGCTGAGGTTGAGAAACATTGAGTTAGGCGATAGGAGAGGGAGAATTTTTCCATTGTTCGTGGCTTGTTCACTGGCTCCACTTCTCTCACCCGCAGGCTTTGGCAGGTCTTGGAAACGGAAGCAGATCGAACCTGGTTAGTCCTTGGATGGGAGACCACTAGAAATGAGGGTGGTGAGCAAGGCTGAGAAGTCAAAGAAAAAAAAATGGCCAGCCATTTCTGTATCGTTGCATAGAAAACCAAGCACGTAAATCCATAATCCCACCAAGGAGACATTATCTTTATCTTCCCCCCACCCTGACCGAGCAATCTTGTTTGCATACCATATGCAGGCTGAGGAATATTAAAGGGAGCATGGCAGGGTCATCTGAAACTAGACCGGTCAGCGGGTTGATATTCGCTAAAGGATGATAGGAAAATCTGCAGGTCTTTCATGAGAATGATGACACGAATGCTAAAGGGTGATATGAACATCTGCAGGATGTTCCCACAAACCGACGTTCAACAGAGCCAGAGAGTCAATGAGAAAGGCAGAAAAAAGATCCAGGGGACTTGGAGGGTGGAGAGAGTTTGCCATCCAGGCTCTGGAGTTGGGGGGGGGGGCAAAAAGAAACCCCCGTTGGCGGCATTCACAGGAAATGCTTTACCCAGAATTCTGAGTTAAGCCATTTTCTGTGTTTGCACAATCCACGAATTCCAACTAACCAGCGCGCTTGCACCCAAAGCAGCCACAAAACCCCAAAACCAGGCTCCGAACTAACCCAGATCTGCATGTGGGGCAAACCCAAACCTGACCTGGTTGTGTGAATGGCAGGATCATAAGACCGTGAGTCAAAGGCCCAAATGGCCGGTTGCTTAGCTTCCAGCCTCCCTCATGACTGGCCCAACCGGCTGAGGCTAATGGGGCTTGTAGTTCTGAAAACCCTTTGGGAACATGGCCTCAAAGGATGGGTAGGTGGCTCCCTCAGCACGATGCTTATTTTTATTTCCTACTTAAATTAAAAATAAAGATCTATTTCTGCCCGAAACAAACCGGTGCTTGTTCTCAAATAAGACGCACCGCTTTCGGAAGGGTGGAAATCCCCAAAGATGGTGAAGTCCAAGGTCTAAATTTATCTCACTGGACTCCAGGGTCTCGCTGAAAGACTAGCGTTGAGCATCCATCAATGCTGGCTCTGTGCAGCAAAACCAGGCGGCAGGAAGTAGGCGGGGGTGACGGACGTGGGAAGGCTGAAGCCAAGATGTTTGGAAAGGCTGGCGATGGAAACGGAGGGAGCCGAGGAGGTCCAGAACGAGAGCGACGGGAGTCCAGGCGGCCACGGAGGGCCCCAAACCGGTGTCCCAGCCCCCCCAAAAACAGTCTTGCAACTTTGCTCAAGGGGTTGTGGTTCTACGAAACACGCAGCCGTCCTGGGAATAACTTTGGAGAACTTCAGACGGTCTCGAACTCCCTCCGGGATCCGGCAAGAAACAGGTCGTCAGGCTGCGGACAATCCCGTCGGACGGACAACCAGGTTCCGATACCGTCTCCGAAGATTGGAGATCTAACTGGGCTTAGCAAGGTGTCTGGAACGACCGTTTGTCCCCTCTCTGGGCTGGGGGCTGGGGGGAACCTGGCCCCCCAACACCCTTAAGCATGTTCTTCTCTGCGCTGGTGGTGGTACCGTTGATCCTCGGACCCAACGGCGCTGTCTCAGCACTGCCTGCATGCCAGACTTTGGACCTGGAGGTGGCGCGGGCCCGGAGGATCCAGGCGGTCCGAGGCCAAATCCTTAGCAAGCTGCAGCTGGTGACGCCCCCCAAGGAAGAAGAGGTGCCCAACCCTCTGCCCGCCGAGGTGATGCTCCTGTACAATAGCACGCAGGAGCTGGTGCGGGAGCCGGCAGCCTGCGGGGGACAGCGCGCGGCCTGCAACGAGGAAGAGGACTATTATGCCAAAGAAGTGCAGCGAGTGGACATGTTGAC